ACTCATCATCATCATCATCATCTCTATCATCATCATCATCATCATCATCATCATCATCATCATCATCATCATCATCATCATCATCATCATCATCATCATCACTCCGCGCTTTCCTCCCATGACATGTCGCTGCAGGAGGAGAGGCGAAGAAATCTCCTGGGCCCGACGGCGAAGAATTTGAACGACGCGATGGAGGACATGATCAACAAGTCCATCGCAGTCGCGCGAAAAGACCAACAGAGGTCATTCCATTCCTCCTCGATGCTACTTTCCCTTTCTTCCTTCCTATCTCCTGCTCCTCCTCCTGCTCTTCGTCCCCCTACTTCTGATCCTCCTCCTGCTCCTCCTCATGCTCCTGCCGCTCCACCTCTTGCTGCTGCTGCTGCTCCTCCTCCTCCTCCTCACATCCTCCTCCTCCTGTGCTTGACTCACAGACAAACAGAACTGCGAGAAAAAGGACGAGTATGATTGCACGAAACATCTTCGGTGTTTTGAGATTTGATTTCTTTTCTTTGCCCTTACAAAACTTTCAAGACGATGTTGACAGTCGCAAACGGGTGGAGGAATATTTCTCAGAAGACAAGACGGTCATTCCAAAACAGGCTAGTTTGCAACAAAACCGATGATGATGTTTGACATGAGGTTGTCAGAATGCTCGAAGAAGTAGCACATTCCGTCTCAACTCGATCGCTCCTGGCAAGTTTCTTTCAACCCTTCGTTCATGACAGCGTTTGTAACGAGTGTGCTCAACAAGCAGGAAGAGGGCAAGAGTTCTTCAGAGGAGAACCGGCACAACCTGTAGAGACACCCAACAACTCAGTTCTGACTTGTTCGCAGATGAATCTGACAACTGAGAATTTGACAACTCACACATTCCTGCTATCGAAGAAGAAATCACAGATTGACCCTAACAAGGCCATGCAGATGCTCCACAAGTCACAAAAGAGATCAATCACTAGAAGAAACTCTGCTTCTACACAGGCAATGCACAAGTTCATCAGGGCAGAGAGCAACCTTACAGTAGAATCTCTTGATATGAAGGTGGTCGACCATGATTGCTGCTAGCTACAACTTGATGACGATCTTGTTCACTAGCGGACAGCAAGTGTTTATTTCCCGCGGTTTGAACTTTATCTCGGAGAACTTGACGGAGTGAACGACAGCTCCATGTCTGACCGTCAATTTGCTACACCGAGGGTATGATGATGATGATGATGATGATGATGATGATGATGATGATGATGATAGAGATGATGATGATGATGATGATGATGATGATGATGATGATGATGATGATGATGATGATGATGATGATGATGATGATGATGATGATGATGATGATGATGATGATGATGATGATGATGATGATGATGATGATGATGATGATGATGATGATGATGATGATGATGATGATGATGATGATGATGATGATGATGATGATGATGATGATGATGGAGATGATGATGATGATGATGATGATGATGGTGA